GAGCCACAAAGAGCCAGCGCCACCCCAGACACGAGCCACAAAGAGCCAGAGCCACCCCAGACACACGAGCCACAAAGAGCCAGAGCCACCCCAGACACACGAGCCACAAAGAGCCAGCGCCACCCCAGACACACGAGCCACAAAGAGCCAGCGCCACCCCAGACACATGAGCCACAAAGAGCCAGAGCCACCCCAGACATGAGCCACGAAGAGCCGCCACCCCAGACACACGAGCCACAAAGAGCCAGAGCCACCCCAGACACACGAGCCAAAGAGCCAGCGCCACCCCAGACACACGAGCCACAAAGAGCCAGCACCACCCCAGACACACGAGCCACAAAGAGCCAGCGCCACCCCAGACACACGAGCCACAAAGAGCCATCGCCACCCCAGACACACGCCACAGAGAGCCAGAGCCACCCCAGACACACGAGCCACAAAGAGCCAGCGCCACCCCAGACACGAGCCACAAAGGGAAGCGTGGCCCCGCTCAGGGCAGAGCTACCCGTCCCCACTGCCGCGCAGCGGTCGGTCACGGTCACAGCATTACCGCCTCACCCACACTCCCTAGGTCTTTTAGCTTTGGTTATTTATTTTTAAAACTGGATCCCCACCATCCTCCTGATTGCATTTCCCACGTAGCTGGGACTGCAAGCATTGGCCACTGCGCCCAGCTTTTACTGGTTGAGATGGGGTCTTGCAGACGTTTTTGCCCAGGCTGGCTTGGAACTGTAATCCTCCTAGTCCTCATATCCAGCAGGAACAGGCGTGGCTGTGGCGTCCTGAGCCCAGTGCCAGTGTGCCTGCCGGGCTTGCTGACTACCAGATGACCAGCCAGGCCTTTACCCCAAGCCGGGGTAGGCCGGGAATGAGGCAAGGGAAATGCTCAGAGGCACCCTGGGAAAGAATCAGAAGAGTCCTTCTCCATACGCAGTGTCATAAAAAGAGGAGTGGGGTGCAGACTTGAGCAGACTTAGACTTAGCTACCCACTTCATTAAATCCTGATCTGATGAAATCTACTATAAACACCAGGTGCCCGGGGCTCGTGCCTGTCAGCCTAGCTCCTCAGGAGGCTGAGATTTGAGGATCACGGTTCCAAGCCCACCTGGGAAGGAAAGTCCTAGGAGACTCTTATCTCCAATAAACCACCAGAAAGCCAGAACTGAAGCTGTGGCTCGAGGTGGTAGAGCACCAGCCTTGAGCAAAATGCTCTGGGACAGCACCCAAGCCCTGAGTTCAAGCCTCAGAACAGGTTCACACATACAAAACAAAGCACTGAATCAAGTGAGTGGCTTCACTCTTGTAACTACTGCAAGTCTTTGGAACTCTTCATAGTGATTCTCTTAAGTGACAGTCATTTGAAAGTGACAAGTTCGCCATGACTCTTGACAGAGGCCTGAGCCAGGCCAGCAGTATACAGCCGCTTGCTGACCTAGCCAACCAGAAATAAGCTCAATTTGTTTGTTTCAGGAAGGAATGCTTAGACATTAGCCCCGGGGATTGATTAGCAATGCCTGCCTTGGATACAGTTGGACTGTGGTGCCTTGCGTGCTACCCACTGGCCATCCTGGCTCAAAAATCGCAGTTGTCCGTGTGACCTTTGCCCACCATGTGATCTTCCACACAAGGGAAGAAGAGGAAGCAGCTGGAAGATCTGCCTGAGATTCAGGGATCGGATTTGTTTTTGCTCACACTGAGCTAGAACATATGTGGCAAGATTTCATTCATCATGGGACAAGAATTCAGTATTCTGAAAGCTTGCTTGTTTTTCTTAATGCTTTGGAGCTACTTCATTCTTTGTCATTTATTTTTGCCTAGCTTTCTAAGTAATGTGTCTGTTGAAAAGCCGCCCCCTCCGCCCCCCAGCTTGGCCAAGGACTGGGGACAAACTTCTCCATCCATACAGAGGGGAAGGAAAGCGGCAGCACCAAGGATTCCCAGCTGGAGAGACAGAGGGACAGACAGACCAGCCGGAGAAAGCAAGGGGAAAGTTCCAGAAAGCAGAGGGGCAGCTCTGGGAGCTCTGTGTGCTCCCTGAGCCTCAGGGAGGGTCAGGCAGGAGTCATCAACCCGCAAAGCTCCCGGGAGGCAGGCAGTGGCAGCCCCAGCCCACATCTCCCTGTGCGTCCCTGGCTACTGTGTCGCAATGTCGCTGCTAGCTGCTGTGCGAGGCTGATGTGGAGGAAAGCCGCCCAGCGGCTCAGGCGGTCACGGGACCTGAACCCGCGACCCCATGGGCCCTGGCATGCCGCTGGCCCACAGCACAGCCAGACCTCCTCTGTAGGGCCAGTCTCAAGGGTCAGGTCCTCCAGGAGCCCAGTGTGGAATGGGGGAGCCCTCGGAGCAGAGAGCCTTCATTAAGCAAACACAATGTTTATTTAGAGACAATGGCTCTCAGATGTGCGCACAGCGGGAGCCTGGCGGGAGGGAGGAAGGGGGGAAGGGAGGGAGGACGGGAATCTGGCACCGCGGCCAACCAGATGGCTGCTGCTGGACTGTCCTCTTTGGCAGATAAATCATCCCCAGAACCTCACCCAGGACACGGCCGGCCGGGGCGGCTGAGGAGAGGGGAGCGAGACAGAAGCCAAGGGCGCTGCGTGGGGCTCAGCCACAGATTGGAACACTGAGGCCCCAGCTGCAGGCTGGGAGCCCTGGGGGGGGGAGAGGGGGATGGGGGTCTCACCATGGGGCGATGAGGGGGGAGGGCCCTGCCCCTGGTCAGTTGAGGGATCTCCCTAACTCTCCCTGGCTGAGAATGCCTTCCAGAGAGCCCCCCCCCAGCAGGACAGCCTCAGGACTCCACCCAGACCCAGAACCATGGGGGCTGGGAGGGGGGAGGGGGAGGGGAGGGGGAGGGGGTCCATAGCTAATTCTCACCATGGCTTCCCAGAGGCCAGGGTGTCCTGGCCACCGCCTCTGGGAGTACAACTGTGCACAAGAGGAGATCTCACATACACACGTGCACATGCGCACACACACACGCACACACATACACACAGCAGCTAAGTCCCCAGCCAAAGGGCTTTCCACACACAGGTACGCGGACCGCACTTCTGTCTTCCTGCCCAGGAGCAAAGGCCTGAAGCACACCCCCACCCGCCGGCCCCTGGGAAGGGTCCAGGATGAGGTCAGCCCTGGGCCCCTCTGGACCTGCTAATCACAGCCACCTGGCAAGAGCCTCCCCCGCCCCCGCCCCCGCCGTCCCAGCAGCCGGCACCCCACCCCTCCCTCCCTGAGCCCCACTGACGTCTGAGCTGTCTGAGCCCAGTGCTCTGTACCTGCTGGGTGGACAGCTCCCAGAATGCAATGCAAGGCGGGGGCAGTCCTAGGGGACCGAGGGAAGCCACAGCCCGGGGGTCCCTAAAAAGACAGGGGTCTTGCGGGGGAGAGGCTGTGGGAGGAAGGGACACACCCAGCTCTTCCGCCTCGTCTCCCCTCTCCATTGTCCTTTACATTCTTTTTCGGTGGTGGGGGTACTGGGTACTGGGGTACTCAGGATGTGGCTCAAGACTGGTTCCCTACCACTTGAGCCACAGCTCCACTTCCAGCTTTTTGGTGGTGGCTGATTAAAGACTCTTGAAGGACTCTCCTGCCCGAGCTGGCTTCGAACCATGATCCCTAGATCTCAGCCCCTGAGCAGCTAGGATGCCATGCGTGGCTGCTGGTGCACTGCTGTCCTTCACCACGTGTGCAGTGGGCATGCGTGGGCCAGAGCCCGAGGAGGGGCGGGAGTTCTTGGTGCTACGGAACTCTGAATGGAAGCGCTCACCATTTGGGCAAATGTTGCCTGTCCCTGCACACAGATGGCAGGAGCTCTAAGTTTTCTCCACACACACACTGCGCGCACACACACACACATGCACACATACTGCACACACACCACGCAAGCACACACACTGCGCACACACACCACATGCACACACACTGCACACACACCACACAAGCACACACACTGCGCAACACACCACATGCACACACACTGCACACACACCACACAAGCACACACACTGCGCATACACACTGCACACACACCACACAAGCACATACACTGTAC